TGCATGCAAAACTGGGGACAAGCCAGAGGTGCAGGGGCGGTGAGAGGATTCACCTGAGACAGAGTGGGGGGCAGACCAGGCCGACTGACGAAGTACGCTGCTGAGGGGAGCAGCGGGGAGACAGGAGAGGTCTGCCGCGCCATGAGGGTCCGCTCTGGGGCGGGGACGGAACTCGTGCTGAGCGGCTGCAGCCAGCTTCGTAGTGCTGCGCTTGAACTGTTGCGCCACCAGGGAGGCCCTGTGATTCTCGTCAGTGAGTTGGTCTGCTTTGCCGCTCAGGTAGATGCTCGTGCCAAACTGCTCCACGAAGATCTCTCTTCTCTCCCAAAGGGAACTGAACAGCATGGGGATCTGGTACCGGATGGGCAGAGTGCCGAGAAACCACGACTCATCTCAACCCACGACGCCCTCCCAGTCGTCAGCTGCCTCCACCCCGGCCCCCAACCTGCCCAGGTGAGGCCTCGTGGCTTGCGCCCCCGCGTCACGGTCATGCGGTCAGGGCCCCCTCGTCGCGCTGAGAGCAGCCCCTGAGCCCTGGGGAGGCGGAGCTGAGGGTGGCAGAGCACTGCAGGTGACAGGCCTCCAGGGCCCACCCCGTTCTCCAGAGACCAGTTTTGTGCTCAGTCTGCAGAGGCCCAGAACAGAAACAGGCCACTGGAGGTGGCGCCTGCCCTCGTGAGCGCGAGCCGGCCGCGGGCAGGCCGCTGTGTAGACGTGAGGCGGGCGCCGGCCGGGGGAGGCGGCCCCTTCTCTGCCGTGGTCATGGCTCCACTGAAGCCCAGCAGGGTCGCAGGTCACGGTGTTCCTGTCCCCCGCGAGCTGCACGCTGAGATGTGAGCCGTGGGTGAGCGGGCAGGAGGACGCGTTCCAGGGCGCGTGGTGCGAGTATTTAGTCCCCCAGAGGCGGGTTTCTGAGGCACCGGATGGCAGGTGCTGTCTGCTCGTCCGCGAGAAGCAGGCGGCAGCCCAGGGACAGCATCTCTGACGGCATCTCGGGCCCACGAGTCGTGAGCTGTGTGACACAGGAACAGACAGCAGCGGTGGGTGCCACTGGGGCCGGGGGTCAGTATAGCAGCTAGAAGAGGGCCGGGCGCGGGGACTGCCACGGGGGGGCGGGAATGGGCCCAAAGGCCACCACGCAGGTGGGTGGTCAGCGCAGGACAGACTGCCACTGGGGTCCCTTCGCCGGGCCCCACCCCACCTTCGGGACGTCCCATGGAGACGTGGTCTTTCTCGTGACTGTCCACAAATTGAGTGGCCCTTCCTGTGCAGTGCCCCAGGATGGCCCAAGGGGCCACTTCTCACTTCACTTGGTGCCAGGAGACCTGAGCCCCAGTGAGTGTCCAGAAGACGGCCGGGGGGCGCTGGCACGGCCCCTGGGGCGCTTCCTTTCTCGCTTCCCAGAGTGCTGCCCACGGGCATCCCATCGCCTGGGTGTGGGGGCCACCTCGGGCCCCTCACCTGAGTGCGGGGCCACCTCGGGCCCCTCACCTGGGCACCTCACTCTGGACCGTTACAGCTGCTCCTGGTGGTGCCCCTGGGCCTGGGGGCCGAGGTGTGGCCTGCCTCAGCGCAAGCTGGGACCTCCCCGGGGTGGGGAAGGCGGACTCCCGTCAGAGAGGGAGACGCCCTCTGCGGAAGGGAGGCCAGCGCCCGCGGACGCGGCCTCAGGGCAGCGGGACGTGAGGTGGCACGTCAGAACGGGGTGTTTATAAGGCTTATATATTTTACAACCTCTTGTACAGTTTATGGTTTACAATGGCTGCAAGGAAATTGGATCAGTTTTGTTTTACTTGCCAAATAAAACAAACGTCAAAATAGTCAATATAAAATGTATTCTAATTTGGCTGAGTTAAGTCAGCCAGTATGCAGTAGGATAATTGAATGTTCCACTAATGCTCCCCAGTAAACCCTCTCTCCTGTCCCCCCCTCCTCTCCCCCGGCACCTACTCACGGTGGGGGCGCACCACCCCGAGCCCCTGGACCCCTCAGGGGTCATCGGTTGTTCTCCTACCCGGCATCATTGACTTGAAAAATAAAGTGCTGAGCACTTACTCCGATGTTCCATCAGAGATTTATGAAATGATGAGTCTGCTCCGTTATTCCGGAGGCCTCAAGCCTCCGTGATCTCTGCAGGGGGCGTCTGGCCGCTTCCTCTGTGGCCCTGAGCTGTGCCCGCAGCCGCCAGCGGGGAGCGGGCGTCTGTCCGCTCTAGGGTGACCCGCCCGCCCGGCCCCTGCCCGCTGTCCGGGGCTCCTGTCCCTGGCGGGCCCTGTCAGCTGTGTGCGTGTCTCAGTCCCCTGGGCCCTGCCTCGGGTGTCGCCTTCCTTTCCCAGGACGGCCTCGCTGGGCGCTGTCTGGGCTTGGTGCCCACCGGGCCCGGGCTCCCCAGGGCTGGGACGTTCCGGCGGCTGGCCCGGAGTGCCTGGGCTGAGCCAGCATGCGCAGCCCCTCTGAGCCCGCAACTCCTTCGCCCTCCGCGGGTCCTTTTCTGTGAGGACTCACACACGCTGGTGGGAGACAGAAAGGAAGAATTCCCGGGGAGCGGGAGCTTGGGTTCTGTCCCCGTCAGGTCACTTCTTTGTCTACGCTCGACACAGGTGCTGTCACAGGCTAGTAACTCTGTTCAGCCGGCTTTCTCGTGCGATATTAAACCACAGGCATCAGCGACACTTAGAGCTGGGCCTTTGTGTGGACGCGGATCAAGTCCAAAGCCGCGGCTGGCGTGAGAGCGTGGAGACAGGGCGCCCTCTACTGACCGCTGCGGAGGCGGCGGGCGGCCGGCCGGCGGCCCTGGCCAGGGCTGGCAGCACAGCCCAGGAACTGGGGGCCCCGGCGAGCCACCCCAGCAGACCTCGTTTTCTTAAGCCTGAACATTTGCCTCAGCAGAGGCTGGGCCACCCCCGGGCCCTCATGGTCCGAGCACACTGCCGTCTTCCCTTCCAGAGGCAGGCTCTGAGCGGGGACAGGAGTGCTGTCGAGGGCTGGCGCTTCCCTGCAGCCTCACAAGTGCTGGTCCTGAAGCCAGTTAGCCGTCCTTCGAGGGGAACAGGCCATGGAGAGACGCTGGACCTTGGCTTAGCCAGAGAGATGGACGCGGTCTGTGCAAAGTTTGTGGCCGGGGGTTAAGACATCTTGGCTGAGCCCCTGGTCCTCATGCTTTATCCCAGCCCCTGCCCCCCTGTACCCCGCGAGGGTGTGCTGCTTCTCCCAGGGGCCTCGAGGCTGGTTTCCTTTGCGCAGCACTGTGGCTCCATCCCCAGCCCACCCTCCTCCTGGATCAGCAGGACAGGGCCCGTGACTCTGAGCTCCGCTGTCGCTGTCAATGTAGCTCTGGGCTGGCCGCTGCTGGGAGGTGTGCGCATGCGCACACCTGGGGCCGGGCCTTCTGCTGCGCTCCTGTGCAGGTAGAGGAAGCGCCTTCCCACTCCAGCCTGCGCTGCGCTCTCCTCGTTCTCTCTTTTTAATTATTTCTTTAAAGATTTATTTATTTTCATATAGAACTGGGGTACAGATCAAAGGTGCAGGGACAGTGAGAGGCATCACCAGAGACAGAGCGGGGAGCAGAACAGGCAGACTCTTGAAGTGCACTGCTTAGGGGAGCAGCGGGGGTCAGGAGAGGTCTGCCAGGCCATGTGGGCAGCTCCCTGGTCGGGAATGGAACTCATGCTGCGGGGGCTTTGGAGAGCTTCATAGTGCTGCGCTTTAACCCACTGTGCCACCAGGGAGGGCCTTTACTCACTTCCATTTCTGAACACTCTGAATGTTTTTTGTAGCAAAATATGCATTTAAAAATTTTCCATTTTAATCAAGTGTAGGTATATTTCACTATCGTAGGTTCCTCATTAAGTAGAATCAAGCAATGTTTGTCTTTTTTCTGTTAGGCTAACTTCGCTTACTGTAGTGTCTTAAAGTACAGTCATACTCTAGCATGCACCAAAATCTCCTTCATTTTTTTCAAAAAGAGTTATTTATTTATATAAGAGGTAGGGTGTAGGCTAGAGGTGTGGAGTGAGAGGATTCACCAGAGACAGAGTGGGGGCCGAACAAGCAGACTGTCTGAAACATACTGCTGAGGGGAGCAGCGGGGAGACAGGAGAGGTCTGCTGCGCCCTGTGGGTCACTCCCTGGCCGGGGATCGAACTCGTGCTGCGGTGGCTGCCATAGCTTCCTACTGCTGCCCTCTAACCTGCTGCTCCACCAGGGAGGGTCTGTGCTCTCCTCTCTTACTGATGACTGTGGAAGAGAAGAGTTTCTGCTTCTGCTGGTACCAGGGGTCAGAAAGCTCCAGAAAGTGGCTTTATAGCCGACGGAGCCCCCAAAGGCACCGGGTGTGGTTGAGTGGATGGCTGCATGTCGACGGGGGGTCCCTGGTGGCCTCCTCCCCCCAGCTTGCTGAACAGTGGAGCCAGGGGCTTGATAAAGACATCAGAGGCATGCTTATCAAATTTGCAGATGACAGAGTCACTAGGGAGAGCTGATGTGGTGAGTGACAGAATCAATACCCCGCATCTCCTCCAGCTAGAACATCCACCGGGACCAGAGATGAAAGGTAATGGGCAACAAGGGACAGGCCCCTGAGGGTCCAGAAATCAATTGCACCAGAACCAGCCCGAGGGGACCCGGCGTGTCGGGCTGCGGGCCGCAGGCTGTTGTTCACAGCGCGCTTCTGGGGGCGGGGTGGGGCGGGGAGCCAGCCCTCGGGCCCGCCTCCTTGTGGAAGTGACCCCAGTGGAGGGCTGGAAGTGAGCAGGGGATCCCCTGAGTTTTGACCCGAGTGGGGCTGGGCAGCTGGAGGCAGTTGTTAGCCAGCAGCACCAGACAGGAGCAGGGAAGGCTTCCAGGTGAGGCGGAGGGTAGGAGCCCGGGGAGGCACACTGAGATCCAGCGCCTGCGACTGTCAGGGTTCAGCCTGGGAAGGACGAACGACCGAAACTTCCCGAGGCGATAATTCCGCGACTGCGAAGGAATCACCTTAAGGACTTAGGATTATTCAACTGCTCGCAGCATGTGGACAGCACCGGGGTTTTCAGACCTTCGTGGTCTTCTGAGGCCTTACGTGGGGGCCGCCAAGCGGGGGGAGCAGGGTGGCAAGCATCAGGGTGGCAGGGGACTGGGAGGCCAGCAGCAAGTAAGCCCCACAGAGGCTGGCGGCGGGAGGCCGAGGAAAGCCTGCTCCTAGTCCAGTTTCCCCACCCATCAGCCAGCAGTCTACCAGGCCCTCTAGCCCTGCCTTGGCGATCCAGATTCAGAAGACCTGTGTGTCAGACCGCAGCCCTTCTGAGGGTCGATGGGGGGCAGGGGGAGGGGGGCCAGGGGCTGGAGTGGGGGGGCAGGGAGTGTCTACCAGCTGCCAGCTCTGCACGGTGCTCTCTGCGTTGCCGACTGTAGCATCACCTTCTGTCCACTGGGACCCAGTTGGGGGGGGGCTTGGGCCCCGCAGGGCTCTGTGT